TGCCTGGTAAGGGTGCTTCCTAAAGCTTAAAGACTACTAGGTTGGCGGGAGGGGCTGAGGCAGTTTCAAGAGGACCTAGAAACAGTGATATCCTAGTATCAGTGAACACATCCAGCACCCAGATCTTATTTCTGAATAGTGTTCTCTGGTAATAAGAACTAGGGTTCCTTGGAGAAATGATTCATTTTAGAGTTGGACCAAGGAACTTTCAGAATGATTCTGAAACATCTTATAGTGTCAGAGAGTAAAAAATTGATTTTTTAAAAGAAGATGGAGTCGGGCGCCTGGGTGGCTTAGTTGGTTAAGCGACTGCCTTCGGCTCAGGTCATGATCCTGGAGTTCCGGGATCGAGTCCCACATCGGGCTCCCTGCTCGGCGGGGGATCTGCTTCTCCCTCTGACCCTCTTCCCTCTCGTGCTCTCTGTCTCTCATTCTCTCTCTCAAATAAATAAATAAAATCTTTAAAAAAAAAAAAAGAAGATGGAGTCATGGTCAAAAATTCATAGGATTTAACCTGGGAGCTCTTAAGAACCAAAGCTGGAATTATTTGGAAAACAAAATAAATAATGATGCTATTGGATTATAACCCAAAGAATAAAGTAAATATACAAGAATCCATATGAATTTCAAATATATATATCTAGATAACTCCTCTCCAGGAAGTAGAACTTAATTCCTCTCTCCTGGACATAGTGACTTACTTCTAAAGAATTGAGTAGGAAAAGGGAAAATTAGTAAATTTACAATGGAGAAAACTGTTCCCTGTCTTGCTGTGTCTCTCTCTGTGAAATAAATAAATAAAATCTTTAAAAAAAAAAAAAGATATGTGTTGAAGGTGACAGCTACAAGAAGGATCTTAGGTCCAAGTTTTTATGTTTAGGAAGCTATGATTTAGAAACCATGTCTTGGACTGCCAATGAGTGAGATAGAAACTTACTGTGTTTTAATTATGTATATTTGATTGTGAACACTTAAAGTTTTTATAAGTATTGAAAGATGATTTAAACAACTGGGGGAGAATGTTGAGATTAATTGTAAGAACATAGAAAGTTGAACCAACAAAAAATCCAGACCATTGTTTACTGTAGAGAGAACAAGGATTAAAAAAAAAAAGAACAAGGATTGTAAAGGAAAAGTAATCAGTGTATTTTACTACTTAGATATGCAGAGCATAGGGGCACCTGGGTGGCTCATTTGTTAAGCATCTGCCTTCAGCTCAGGTCAAGAACTCAGGTCCTGGGATAGGGATGGAGCCTGGCATGGGCTCCCTGCTCAGCGGGGAGTCTGCTTCTCCCTCTCCCTCAGCAGCCCCCCCACCCCCCACCCCCACTCTTGTGGGCGCTCAAGCACTCTCTCAAGTAAATAAATAAAATATTTTTTTTTAAAAAGGTATGCAGAACATGTACATCTTTATAAATCATGTAAACACTGAATATTGATCTAACTTAAAAAACTCTATTGGGAGGATGAAAACACTGGGAAGTATATTTGTGATGGTGGAAGGTGAAAACTGGCTAAATTTCATTTCCCAAACTTAAAGTCAATTGACAAGGCCTAATACTGACAAATTGAGAAGCAAATGCATGTTATTTAGAAATATGAAATTAAAGATGGGAGGGAGGGGCAGAAAGGGCAAGGGAGAAAGAAGGAAGAAATCTGTTCATAGCAGCATGGATAAAAATGAGTAAGATTGAATCCTTGCCCTCTGGGAGTGTACGGTCTAAGTGTAATGAAGATACACAGGTAAGTTTGTTGTGTTTAAGTGGGAACGTGCACAAGATGCCTCAGCAGCATACAGAGAAGGCACTTCAGGTGCTGAGAGTGGGGACAAGGGAAGAGATCAGAAGAGATGTTCCATCAGAAATGAGGGCAGGACTGAGTCTTGGAGAATGAATATGTGGTATCCAAGTGAGAAGAAGGGAGAAGGCATTCAAGGCAGATGAAACAACATGGAGCAAAGAAATCATCAGAATGTATGAGAGGAATTCAGACTCTTCAGTATTACTGGAGAGTACAATTCAAGGAGTGGAGATATGGGGGATAAAGCTGTGGATGCAGTTAGGAAGCAAACTCTAGAGAGCTTTCTTTGACAGTGTGGGGGGTTTGCACTTGTGTTGGGAAAGAAAAGAAAGGGATTTAAGCAAGGAAATGTTGCAATCTCTATAGGTAATTCTATACAAAATGTGTGAATAGATTTCCAGAGAAGATAGTGGTGAACAGCAGAACTCTAAAACATGACTCCACAATGACTTTCTCCCTTGTATAATCCTCTCTCCTTTGAGTATGAGGGGAACCTATAAATTTAATGAGATATCACTCTAGTAACTGTGCTATGTTATATGGCATAGCTGACCTTAAATTAGGGAGATTATCAGGGCAGGCCTAACCCAATCACACAAACATTTTAAAGGCAGAGAGTTTTTCTCAAGCTAGTGGCAGAAAGGGAAGTCAGAGAGTCAAAGCACAAGAAGGATTCATGTGTTATTGCTGGATTGAAGACAAGGGGGCTATACAAAGAATACAGGCAGTGTCTAGAAGCTGAGAGTGACCCCTAGTGGTTAGCCAGCAAGGGAATGGAGACTTCAAGGAACCAAATTCTGCCAACAACCTGAATGAGCTTGAGTCTCCAGAAAGGAATGCAGTCCTGCCCATACCCAGATTTCAGCCTGGACAGAGAATCCAGCATGACATTCTGTACTAGACTTCTAACCTATAGAACTATGACTAATAAATGGGTGTTATTTCAAGCTACTAAGTTTACAGTAATTTATTACACAACAATAAAAAGCTAATATAATGGGTGATGGTAGGATCCCAAGTTAAGAAACCTTTAAAATATTCCAAACTTGAGGCAAGAGAGCTTTATCAAAGGCAGTATAGTGAAGAGGAAGGGTAAAAAACTAGGGACTTTAAGGAGATAGAATTATGTAAACTTCGAAGATCAGATGCTAATGGTTAATGGGAAGGAGGAGCCCAGAATGACAACCCATTTCTAGATTAGCTCACTAGATTAATGATGGTGCCATTAACTTAGAAAAGGATAGCAAGAAGAGAAATAGTTCTGGGACCACAAGGAGATGCTGAATTTAATTTAGTGGGGATGTCTAGTAAACAGTTGGGTACAGAATTAGAAACTTGGGGAAGAGATCCATGTATAGATATAGATAAGGATAAAGAGGAAGGAAACCTAATACTTACGTAACACTTACCATATACCAAGCACTGTGCTAAATGTGCTAGAGATTATGAGGCATTTGATCCTCAAAGCAATCTAAAAAAGTAGGAACTATTATTAAACTTACAATGTAGATGAGGTAAATAAGCTCAGAGTGATTAAGTAATTTGTCCAAGATAACACACATTGTAAGTGGAGGAATTTGAATTCAAGTTTGATTAATTTGATTCCAGAACTCGTTCTTTTTTTTTTTTAAGATTTTATTTATTAATTTGAGAGAGAGAGAGAACGAGCTGGGGGAAGAGCAGAGAGAGTGGGAGAGGGAGAGAGAGAATCTCTCAAGCAGACTCTGCACTGAGCACAGAGCCCGATGTGGGGCTCAATCTCACAACCCTGAGATCAAGATGAGCCGAAACCAAGAGTCAGGTGCTCAACCAACTTAGTCACCCAGGTAACCCCCAGAGTTCATTCTTTTAATATTTCTCCATTATATTTTTCTATAGATATGAAATACACCAAAAGATGGATAGTATAAAGTTATGACATAATTCTATACCAATCACAGACCAATGAAAAAAAAGTATTGGGAATGGTAATGGCTCTGCCCCTGAATACTCCTCTTTTATAATTGAGCATGAGCTCTAGGATAACTAGGAACACAAATGAAGCTACTCCCTCTCTGCACAGAGGACCCAAAATTTTTAAAGTGAACTGATGCTTGGAGAACATTGAGTACCAAGGGAACCAATGTTAACTTACTGGCAAAGGATGTAAACATAAGCTCAGTAATTTCTTCCCTTGGGAGCCTGATCAAACTGTGATGCTAAATGAGCCTTGTTTCAAGATTCTGAACAAGTTGCTGAGATCCACAGAGAATAAGATAAATTCACAATATTAGCTGGCTGATGATTTGGAGACATAAAGTTGATGCATTTGCCTTGCCCTGAAGACATTTTATGCAAATCCACAAACAGAAGGGATATTGGCTTCTCCATATTCAGAGTGGTTGTCTCCTTCAGGACAGTGAAAGGAAAAGAACACTTAGGAATCTGGCTCTAGTGAGGTCTCCAGGCAAAAGAAAGTTGGGCAACTGAGTCCTCCTGTTCTGAGGTTTCCGTTCCCACGGCTACAGCAGCGGAGAGTTGTAGGGAGGCCATTTGTCCTTCCTAAACAATTCATTGTGATTTTGAGGTAAGATTGGATAAAGGGAATGGGCAGGAGAAGTTCATGACAACAGGGGAATTCAAATTTCTCCAGTTACTACATGTGTGATCTTGGAAAAGTTACTTAATCTCTCCGAGCCTTTTTACCTCTTAGCACTTTCATTAAGCTGGGTACTGAGTTTCTGAAAGGTAAAAGGGAGAGAGAGTGGGTTGAGCAGTGGGTATCACAGTGACTCTACTGTCTTGGAGCTTTTCGGGGATTTTCATAGGAAGTGGTCCCAAGTACAACTATTGGCTCCTCTGTTCTCTATCTGTATGACCTTGACCAGCCTATTCATCTCTTCAAGATATTGCTTCATCTCTCACATGTGATCGTCACTTTTGGTGTCCATGCTAAAAGATTTCATCCTGGATTGTGTCAGCCCAGGGAAGGTGAGGAGTTACAGTTGAGATCTGAAAACATGGAAGAAGAGGACAAGCAAGAGTAGGAAGTTAAAGATGAAGAGTCCTTGCCCTGGCTCTTCTTTCAGGGCTCTGTCCCAACAGCCACACTCGAGCCCCCACAGAATAAGGCCTTACTCTAGAAGCAAAGGGTCTGAGTCCCTTCCTGATGTGACACTTCTCTCATTTCCTCACAGATCACAGCCCTGCAGATAGTGACTATGGAAAATGACTCTTCAGTGATGGAGTTCATCCTGGTAGGACTTACAGATCAATCTCAGCTCCAGTTACCCCTTTTCTTTCTCTTCTTACTGAACTGTGTAGTCACTGTGGTAGGGAATTTGAGCTTAATTAATCTAATTTGTCTGAATTCTCATTTGCACACTCCCATGTACTTTTTCATCTTCAACTTATCCTTCATAGATCTCTGCCACTCTTTGGTAATCACACCTAAAATGCTGATGAACTTTGTGTCAGAAAAAAATATCATCTCCTTTACAGAATGCATGACTCAGCTGTTTTTTTTCTGTTTCTTTGTCCATTCTGAGAGCTATGTGTTGACAGCCATGGCCTATGATCGCTATGTGGCCATCTGTAAACCCCTGCTGTACACAGTCACCATGTCCCCTCAGTTCTGTTCTCTTCTGATGTCTGGTTCATACGTGATGGGGTTTGCTGGTGCTATGGTCCACACAGGGGACATGGTCAGATTGTCCTTTTGTGATTCCAACATCATCAGCCATTACCTGTGTGACATCTTCCCCCTCCTCCAGCTCTCCTGCAGCAGCACCTACGCCAGTGAGCTGGTGACTTCTGTTATTGTGGGCACAGTTGTCATTGTATCCAGCCTCATTATTTGCATTTCTTATGCTTTGATCCTGTCCAGTGTCCTCCACATCTCATCAGCTCAGGGTTGGTCCAAAGCCTTCAGCACCTGTGGCTCGCACATAGTAACTGTTGGCCTATTCTATGGATCTGGGTTGTTCACACATCTCAAGACCTCTCCTGCTGGTTCTATGGGCCAGAGGAAGTTCTTCTCAGTATTTTACACCAATGTAGTACCCATGTTGAATCCTCTCATCTATAGTCTAAGGAACAAGGATGTCAAGTGTGCTCTGGAAAAAACCCTGAAGAGAATTGCACATTAAGCAGAACCAATGTTGCTGGGTTGTTGGGGTGTGTATATGGTGTGTGTGTGTGTGTGTGTGTGTGCATGTCCCCATAATTTTCTTCAGAGCAAGGTTTTTGCTTTAAATACTTATTTCTCTGTAAGCCTGTCAGTTAGGCATGCAGACCTTATTAAATCTCATGATTATTCTCAGCCCCATAATGAACTGAGCTTTATTCCTAACAGCATGCTCCAGAGACTCAGCCCAATTCCTACTTCTTTTTTTTTTATTTAAATTCAAATAGCCAACATATAGTACATCATTAGTTTTTGATATAGTGTTCAACAATTCATTAGTTGCGTATAACACCCAGTGCTCATCACATCACGTGCCCTCCTTAATGTCCATCACCCAGTTACCCCATCCCCCACCCACCTCCCTTTCCACAACCCTCAGTTTGTTTCCTAGAGTCAAGAGTGTCTCATGGTTTGTCTCCCTCTCTGATTTCTGGGCTCTTTTCATAATTTGGTTATTGTTGATAATGCTGCTATAAACATCAGGGTGCATGAGCCCCTTGGAATCAGTATTTTTGTATCTTTTGGGTAAATACCTAGTAGTGCAATTGCTGGGTAATAGGAAAGTTCTATTTTCAACTTTCTGAGGAACCTCCACACTGTTTTCTAGAGTGGCTGCAACAGTTTGCATTCCCACCAACAGTGTAAGAGGGTTCCCCTTCCTCTGCATCCTCGCCAACATCTCATGTTTCCTGTGTTGCTAATTTTAGCCATTCTGACTAGTGTAAGGTGATATCTCATTGTAGTTTTGATTTAATACTGTTCCTTTTCAATGGAGGGAAATTTTTTGTATTACCCAGTCTTTCTCAGATATCATCAGCATTACAGTTATAATCAGCAAAAGAAAACCACCAGATGATTGATTTCATTTTGAAAGAAATGATAATGGATGTTTGCCCTATGGAGTTTGTGGTGGGATTTACCCTGACTCCCAGAGTATCTTCATAATCATCGAAGAGGAAGAATAAAACTCTTAGCTAAGATCATCAAGAATACCTTCCTGGAAGAAAATTTTGATCTTCTAGCCTCTGTTTCTGAAACTTTCTTTCCTAAGTAGGATAGACAAAGTTGGAGGTCAAAACAAAATCTCAGTAATGTGAAGCTTGCATAGTTGGTTGAAAGAACACAGATTTTGAGAAAACTTTCAGGATCTATGGCTAAACACAGATATTTGAGACTTGACACCAAAGGCACAATCCATAAAGGAAAAACTTATAAATTTATTTAACCTTCACCAAAATTAAATGTTTTAGTTCTGTCAAAGACCCTATTAAGAGGATAAAAACAGAAGCTACAGAAGGGGAAAATATTTGTAAGCATATATGTGACAGAGAACTAGTATCAAGAATATATAAAGAACTCTCAAAACTCAACAGTTAAAGAAAATAAAAAAAGAAAGTTAAAAAAAAAGGCGTGAGCAAACATTTTACTAAAGAGGGCATGCGGGTGGCAAATAAACACATGAAAAAGTATTCAGTGTCATTAAAGGGAAACAATTAAAACCACAATGAAATAACACTACAAATCTCTCAGAATGGCTAAAATGAAAAAATAGTGACAACACCAAATGCTGGCAATGATATAGGAAAACTGAATCACTCATAAATTGCTGGTGGGAATATAAAATGTTATAATCACTCTAGGAAAGTTTGTTATTGTTTTCAGTTATCCAGCAGTTGCACTCTTGAGCATGTATCTCAGAGCAAGGAAAATTTATTTTCACACAAAAACTATACACAAATGTTCTTAACAGCTGTATTTGTAATAGCCCCAAATTGGACACAACCCAGGTATCCTCCAATAGGGAAACAAACTGTGTCTGTCTGTCCACATCATGGAATACTATTCATCAGTAAAGAAGGAATGAACTGGGGCACCTGGGTGGCTCAGTCAGTTAAGCATCTGCCTTAGGCTCAAGTCGTGATCTCAGAGACCTGGGATCTGGACACTGTGTCCAGTTCCCTGCTCAGTGGAGAGCCTGCTTCTTCCTCTCCCTCTGCCCCTCCACCCCCCGCTCATGCTCATTCTCGCTCGCTCTCAAATAAATAAATAAAATCTTAAAAAAAAAAAAAAAAAGAAGGAATGAACTATAGATACATGCAACAACCTAGATGAATTTCAAGGAAATTATACTGAGTGAAAAGCCAGTCTCAAAATGTTATGGACTGTATTATTCCATTTATATAATATTAATTAAATGAAAGACTTTTAATGATAGCAGATTAGTGGTTGTCAGGGTTTAAAGATGGGAATGAAGTTTAAGGAGGGAGATGGATGTCATTATAAAAGAACAACACGAGAGGTCTTTGTGGTGAAACTGTTCTGTATCTTGACTGTGGTGGGTGAATGCACAAGCCTATACATGTGATGAAATTGTATAGAACTAAACACACACACACATACACACACGAATGAGTAAAGTTTGAACTGGGAAAATCTGAATAAAACCAATGGATTATGTCACTGTCAATATCCTGGTTGTGATATTATACTATGGTCTTGAAATGTTATCATTGGGTGAAGCTGAATAAAAGATACATGGGATCTCTCTGCATTGTTTTTATAACTTCATGTGAATCTACAATTAAAATTAGAAGTTTCATTTTTTAAAAGATAAAGAATATAGGCTTTTATCTCTGAAACAGAGAAGTTAAAACATTTAAAGTAATTTTTAAAATTATATTCTCCTTAAAACTGAAATCTTAAGATATCATTCGTTTAGGTTGATTTTATTATATATCTTTAATTTGAGATGAACATTTTCAGTGCTATCAATGTTTTACATATTAGAACAGCTTTCTTAAACTTTGATGTATCCTTAATATATATGGTTATGGGGCATCCTATGTTCATTCTGTTCCTATCTGAATGAATTTCCCCCACCAATAGAGCCACCCAATATAACAATTAATGGTGAGATAACCTTGTTTTGTGTCCATATTTATTTGTTGGGATGGATACTCCATGAGAACTGGGACCAGATCTGCCGAGTTCAGTGCTGTATCCCCAATGCCAAATGCAGGGCCCAGTACATCATAGATGCTCATTTAAATGTTGCTTACAGTGATATGTGAAAAAGAACAAAAGCAATGGAAGTGGCCACCATCCAGAGCAGCAGATGTGTGTGGGAAGTGGGAAATGGGGGATGAAGGAAGTAGAATTCTGTGTCAGGAGCTGGTAATGGAGCCTCAGAGAATGTGTCTGTACTCCAATGGACTGTTCCCTGAGCTCTGGTGAGAGGGGCAACAGACAAATGTGACAGAAACTCAGGGGCCCAAGTGTCTGTTTTCCTCAGAGAAGAACAAAAAGAGCAATATATCCTCTAGGGAAGAGGGAGGTGGCAGGAGAGAATAGTGTGCTGCCAGTGGGATGTCTGGTTCCTGAGCACAGCAAGATCCTTCTGGAGACTCCCAGAAATTCTTGAGGAAATTTCACAAGAGCTGAATTCCTACATTAGTTAGTGGAAGTACAAGCAGTTGAAAATTATGTATTTTAATGTATCATTAATAGTTTTTTAAGTCTTAGAATTAGAGGTCTTCTAGTGCAACCATCCCTATCCATGGTGAAATAGATTTGAAGACATTTCTGGTAATCATTCAGCTTCTTCTCAGATATTTCTAGCTGTGGTCACTTGAAGGAAGAACCATCTCCAGCACTTCGGATTATAGGTATCAGGGATCTGACAAAAATATTTTTCCCGGACTCTGTTAAATGGGCATCAATCACCTGGAAAGCCCATAAATTTTTTTAAATGTTACAAATGAGTGAAACAAAAATTGCTTTTAATTCACAAAATACTAAGTTCATGTGGGGAACAGGATTATAATGAAAAAGTGCACAACCCTCTTCTTACCCTTTAGAAATTACTTTGAGGAGGGACAAATCTTCCAGTCACGTTGTTATTAGAGGACCAGTACATGCAGTATTTTGAAATACCTACATTTGTTTAACAAAAAGTTGTATAAATTTTAATCATGATAGTTATAAAATTCTTATGTGATTTTTAAATGCAAAAATAAGTAAATAAAAAAGAAAGAAAAGCCCAGATCAATACAAGAGCGGAGACATAATTCACAAGAGAAATTTTAAACACTAAACCAGGCAGTTCAGCCAAACAGCCACCAGGTTGTGCTGGTGACTCAGTGATGTTGTTTAAACAAGAAAAAAGAGAATTTTGCTTAAAATTTATATTTTACATTTTTTTTAGGCCCCTAAATGTATAGTCATGAATTTTACATAACTCCATGTATAAAATGTTTTATTATGTTCAATTAGCCAGCATATAATACATCATTAGTTTTTGATGTACTGTTCAATGATTCATTTGTTGCGTGTAACACCCAGTGCTCATCACAACACGTGCCCTCCTTAATACCCATCACCCAGTTGCCCCATCCCCCAGCCCCCTCCCTTCTGTAACCTTCGGTTTGTTTCCCAGAGTCCAGAGTCTCTCATGGCTTGTCTCCCTCTCTGATTTCTTACCTGTATAAAATTTTTAACTCATTATTAAAACACATAAATGTTTTTAAATTTTATTTTATTATGTTATGTTAATCACCATACATCATTAGTTTTTGATGTAGTGTTCCATGATTCATTGCGTATAACACCCAGTGCTCCATTCAATACGTGCCCTCTTTAATACCCATCACCAGGCTAACCCATCCCCCCACCTCCCTCCCCTCTAGAACCCTCCGTTTGTTTCTCAGAGTCCATAGTCTCTCATGGTTCATCTCCCCCTCTGATTTCCCCACCTTCATTTTTCCCTTCCTACTGTCTTCTTTTTTTTTTTTTTTAACACACAATGTATTATTTGTTTCAGAGGTACAGGTCTGTATACATAAACTTTTTAAAAAGATGTTCTTTAGGGAAAAATTTAAACAAGTTGAGTATATTCAATTTGCAAAACTTACTGGGCACTTACTGTGTTGTGTGATGAGGAAAGAATGGATAAGACATGGCAAT